CAAAATTAACAATTAACTGAACAATTTGATGTTAACAGTGCTAAATCTTGTATTTGCAAAATAAGTAAATATGGTGAGAACTAAGCAGATTATAATTTGCTTAAATTGTAAATACAGGATTTAGCACTGTTAACATCAAATTGTTCAGTTAATTGTTAATTTTGCTCGTCGCATTATAGTCTAAAATATGTATTAATGCTTTATCCAGCTCAGAAAATAAGATATTGTGGTTCAAAATGCCGAGCTAAAACAAAGATTTTTACAATGTTCTCCTCAGATTTTTGCCGATGGGAATACTATACTCCACTGGCACTTGCCTTTTGGCTTGTAGAAGATAAAAATATTTTCTCTCTATTCTTTCTTAACATGGGCTGATTCTTTTCAGATGTTGGCTTTATCTTCTACTCCACAGTGTTGATTAAATCTCTGCCATATCTTTTCTTCCCCCCTGCAGGGTCCTGTCGGTCCTGCTGGCGCTCCCGGTTTCCCAGGTGCTCCAGGTTCGAAGGTGAGTGAAGGCTGCAGGTGATAATCGCTAAAGCTAACAGCCTGAATGAGCAGCAGTGTGATGACATTCCTCCCCGAGTCCTCTCTGAATATGAAGAGATGTAGAGGCCCCTCTTTCCCCTCACCCACGCTCTCCTGTGAAGTCCAGAAGAGAGAAAGAAAGAAAGAAAGACGGATTTGGCAGGGTAACAAGCAGGGCAGGAATCCCAGCTTCTGAAAGCCACAAGCTGATTAAATAAAGCAAGCCTTTGAGCGTGGAGTTCACTGAGAAATGTACACAGAGAATTTGAGGCCACAGGCAACATTTTTTCATCACTCCATGAAGTGTAGCAGGGACACAGAGCAAGAGATACAGACTAACAACTGGTATTTATTCATATTCCACCTGCAGGATAAGCATTTAGGCTGCTTAACTAGACCTAGTTCATTGCTTGAACCCCCATGCAGCTTGAAGAACATACTCTGAAAGACTTTCAAAATGTTATTATTCTGAACGAATGATTAAACAGTCAATTTTGAAAACAAAAAGGTGAATTATTTTGCCAGATAGCCTGGCCATTATCCTTTTAACCTGGTTCAGGCGATGTGTGGACAGGGCTGCAAGGGCCTGTACCCCAATATTATCTCACAGTTTGTGTTTTGTTTAGCTCAAGCATAATCCCTGTCCTTGCCATTTTTATTTCAGCCTTGTCTCTTTAATTAAAAAGACATCTTCTGATGTCTTAAATGAAACAGAAATTATTTAAAATGTCATTCGATCTGAATAGAAATGCATCTTATGCCCGAAGCTTAAAGTAACAACTTCTATTTATATCGCATCTTTAAAGTAATCAAATGTTCTAAAGTACTTGACAGGGAGGATATAAAGCAAACAGAATATGCTACCAAGTTACCTAAGAGATATTTGGTTAAATGAATGGTAAAATGTGGGAGAACAGCCTGGAGTGTGTTGAAATAGTTGAGCCGAGAAGGAACAAGGGCATAAATGAGAGTTTCAGTGTTGGATTAGCTGAGACAGGGACAAAGTCGGGAGATATTCGGGAGGTAGCTGGGTCTTAGTGGTTGTGCAAATATATGGTTGGAAACTCATAGCAAGGTCAGATATAACTCCAAGGTTGCAAACTTGAAACTTGTGCAAAACTCAAAATAAA